TGGAGAGTCTCAGTAATGGCGGAAGCCCCTCCCCCACCGAGCCGGGCCGTCCAGGTTCAGCTGTGCTTGGTTTGAAGGGCTCAACCCAGAGGGTTTCCAATTACTGTTTTTGTTTTCGTTGTTGTTGGGGGTGGAAGGCTGGGACCAACCGAGCCTGATCACCTGGCTCCCTGACTCAGAGTCTTTTCTTTTAAGTTGAACGACCCCGAGTTCCGGTCGCTTGTTGAAAAGGCGCCGGGATCTCCCGTGCTGCGACTCACGGAGTCGGCTCGAACTGCGGCGCCGGCTCCTGGCGGATTTTTTGCCTAGGAATCTCCTGGCCTGACTCGCTATTTCAGATGAATGGCCCACTCTGCCGTCTCAGGGCTCTGCTCGTCAGCTAAGAGGGCTCCCAGACCAGTGGTTTTTGTACGGAGAACCGCAGCAACAGGGAGTGGTCACAGCAGCCGCGCAGGCGGAATCAGCCCCACAGGGGCCAAAACAGCCACACCGACTGGGACTGCGACACTGGCGACCCCTCTGCCTGGGTATCTCCTGGTCTGTGGGCAATAAGAGTTCGTCTGTAAATGGGGCGTTCACTCACCCTCTGCACTTTCACTGGGAGCTGAAGTCCTGAGCTGTTCTTAGGCGGCCATCTTCCCAGCATTCCCTGGCTCTTGTATTTTTATTTATTGGCAGAGAAAGGGCTGGAGTTCTGGCTAACATTCCTCTAACTATAACCATTTTCTTTTTCGTTTTCCTTTTTTTTTTTTTTTTTTTTTTTTTTTTTTTGAGACGGAGTTTCGTTCTTGTTGCCCAGACTAGAATGCAATGTCAGCATCTTGGCTCACTGCAGCCTCCGCCTCCTTGGTTCAAGCAATTCTCCTACTTCAGCCTCCTGAGTAGCTGGGATTACAGGCACGACCCACCACCACCCCCAGATAATTTTTGTATTTTTAGTAGACAGAGTTTCACCACGTTGGTCAGGCCGGTCTGGAACTCCTGACCTCAGGTGATCTGTCTGCCTCAGCCTTCCAAAGTGCTGGGATTACAGGCATGAGCTGCCATGTCGGGCCCATAAACATTTTTTAAAGGATAAAAAACCTCATGAGAACCGTAGCAGTTGATCATAGCTACCTCATACATGAACCTCTGGAATATAGAGTGCTGTCAGGTTTTGAAATACCTGTTTTAGAAATAGTCATCGAGGCGCCGGGCACGGTGGCTCAAGCCTGTAATCCCAGCACTTTGGGAGGCCGAGGCGGGTGGATCACGAGGTCAAGAGATCGAGACCATCCTGGTCAACATGGTGAAACCCCGTCTCTACTAAAAGTGCAAAAAATTAGCTGGGCATGGTGGCACGTGCCTGTAATCCCAACTACTCAGGAGGCTGAGGCAGGAGAATTGCCTGAGCCCAGGAGGCGGAGGTTGCGGTGAGCCGAGATCGCGCCATTGCACTCCAGCCTGGGTAACAAGGGCGAAACTCCGTCTCAAAAGGGAAAAAAAAAAAAAAGAAAAAGAAATAGTCATCCAGGCTGGGTGCAGTGGTTCCTGCCTATAATCCCAGCACTTTGGGAGGCTGAGGTGGGAGGATCACTTGAGGTCAGGAGTTCAAGACCAGCCTAGCCAACGTGGTAAAACCCCATCTTTGCTAAAACTACAAAAATTAGCCAGGCATGGTGGTGGATGCTTGTAATCCTGGCTACTTGGGAGGCTGAGGCAGGAGAATCGTTTGAACCCGGGAGTTGGAGGTTGCAGTGAGCTGACATCCTGCCACTGCACTCCAGCCTGAGCAGCAGAGCAAGATCTGTCTCAGAAAAATACGGTCATCTATTTATTCAAATGTCTAGCCTGGTAAAAATTTGGATGCTTTAGAAGGTCACAGAGCAGAGGGAGAAGAACCAGTCCTAGCTGTAGTGGTGTTAATATCCCAGAATCTATGGAGACTCAGAATGTTCTTCAGATCCTTTCCACCATTAGCTTATGTTTCTGGCTGCTCAGATGAATTAATTCTAAATATTTGTATTTAGTAACTGCCAAAGCTTAAATTTCAGATTTTAAAAAGAGAACAAATCATTTTAACAGGAATCTGTGCCCAGGGAATCCAAGAATTGGTGAATTTATAGTTAGAGAAGGTGGCAGGCTGGGAAAGTTTGAAGAAACAGCCAGTTCTTTGATTTCCCACAGAGAATATATACTGAACTTCCTTTTCCTTAGGGAGCAGGTAGCATTTCAGACTTGCCTTTGAATGTCATAGTTTTCCTACCTCCTCATGGTGGCATTGGGTCCCAGCCCCTCAAATCCAAGAGAAGAATATATGATGCTATGCTGAAGGCTGTTGACTGAGTCTTCACTCAGTGGTTGATTTACTGAGATACTGGTCCTGGCAACAGAGAACACTCATCAATAGTTTGTTTTTTGTTTTCTTTTTTTTTTTTTTTTTTTTTTTTTGAGTCAGAGTGTCGCTCTGTTGCCCAGGCTGGAGTGCAGTGATGTGATCTGGGCTCACTGCAACCTCCACGCCACAGATTCAATCAATTCTCATGCCTCAGCCTCCTGAGTAGCTGGGATTATAGGCGCCTGTCACCAAGCCCAGCTAACTTTTTTATTTTTTAGAAGAGACGGGGTTTCGACATTTTGGCCAGGCTAATCTCAAACTCCTGACCTCAGGCAATCCACCCGCCTTGGCCTCTCAAACTGCTGTGATTACAGGTGTGAGCCACTGCACCCAACCTATCAGTAGTAATTCTGATCATCACAGTTATTGCAGAAGAATGAAGGCATTGCTGACTCTGAATTTTCAGCACACTTCAAATCTGCAAATCCAAGAGATGTGTCTAACCACAGGGAAGATATTTCTGAGGTTTCTTAGTTTGCCTAAATGTATACTTTCAGTCCTTCTTTAGCCGGTTGGGCTATTTTCTCATCAAGATGGGGCTAATTGGTGAGGAATTTTCTTAAATACAGGCAGGCAGTCATCACTTTATAACATTCCAACACACAGTACTGGATGCCTTCCAATTTGTGTTAGAAACATGGTTGTTCTGTCTTAAATTTCTTATTTACCTAAGCTCATTGCTCTGAGTTATATTTATGTTTGTATGGTGATTTTGAAGATCCAAATTAAGTGGTTACTTTCAGTATGATCTATCATGCTTTCTCTTTTTTTTTTTTTTTTTTTTTTGAGACGAAGTTTTACTCTTGTAGCCCAGGCTTGAGTGCAATGGCACGATGTTGGCTCATTGCAACCTCTGCCTCCTGGATTCAAGCAATCTTCCTGCCTCAGCCTTCCAGAGTAGCTGGGGTCACAGGCACGTGCCGCCATACCCGGCTAATTTTTTATTTTTAGTAGAGACAGGGTTTCACCATGTTGGCCAGGCTGGTGTCAAACTCCCGAACTCCGGTGATCCGCCCACTTCGGCGTAAGGCCAAAGTGCTGGGATTACAGGCGTAAGCCACCATGCTCGGCCCATCATGCTCTTTTAAGAATGGGACAAACACTGAAGTTCCAAGAAAGTCAGAGTGTCAGAGAAAGTACGTGGAATCAAAAATTGAGCATATATTTGGAGATATTTAAGGAATATTTTATTCTGAAGCTAACTGGGGAAAAAAGATTTCACTTTTCTTGCTAAGGTATGAGTCAGCCTCAAGACTGAACTTGTACATTTGTGTTTCTTCTTCTACTTTTAAAAAGAAAAAGTATTCTATTTTAGATACAGAATACTATTATGGTTTTCTATTGCTAAGTGGAAATAGAAGTATAGTAATAAGTAAACTAAAGACGGAAGAAATCTACTTAAAACAAAAAGCAATAAGGAATTGTTGGGGTCTCTGCATTTGAAAGGCTAAAAGCAGCTGGGAAGTAACTGTGCTTCCAGGGCCATAGAGCTGTGGGGCAAAGCAGAGCAGTAGGGAGAGTTTTTTAAATTTTTTAATTTTTAATTTTGAGAAGCAAGATTGAAGCCCCAGCTGAACAATAAGCAGAAGCTTCCACTTGGCAGACACAGATTCCAGCAGCATTCCTGGCGCATCATGGTGTTCAGTAATCAATTTGCTGGAAAGATAGATTGTGACACAGAAACAGTCCTCCAGCCAGTCTCATGCATATTTCATACCTGTGGGAATCAAGCAGGTGACCTTCGGGCTGGAACTGAAATTAAGCCCCTCTGCCAGGCACATGCAAACAGACAGAGCACACTCTGATCCTCTTCAGAATTCTTCAATTTGGAGATTTAGAGTCCACTATAGAGTCCCGTATAGAGTCCACTAAAAAGGATTTTTCAAATGCGGTATGTGACAGCAGCCAGCAGTGTAAGCTACCTGCAAGAAAGAGGAAATGAAGTTTGGCTTATAGGAAAAGGGGAACCTGACTACAGTCAAGGAAATGTTTTTTTCTGAACACTGGGGTCTATTAATCTGTGAAACTTCCTTCCTACAGGCATTTAAATTTTTTATATGCTTTTTTTTGTCTAAAATGGGTTAGGTTTGATATTGCCTAAAGCCTCCTGAGAACTGGAAAATAAAATTAAATTCTTTATAAAGGCAATGTTAAATAGCTCCCTAAGGCTTTACAGAGATACTTTAGATTTTCAAAGATAATTATTATCTGTTCTAAGATGGGCCGTGACTAGTAGTCTCTAGTAGCCTTCATGTGTTTTAGAAAACGAAGATTAGCTGTTGTATATTCAGTATAATGCTATATATACAGTCACCTGATATATCTAACCAGATGATGGTTATTAAACTTTATGTCAGAACAGTATATTAACAGTATATTAACAGAAGCTTAACCTAACTAACCCCATCACATTTTATGTGTACTAGTCAGCAGATAGTCTGAATCCCTATTTAAGAAGAATTTCATTTGTTCAATTGCCAGACATTAATTTTTTTTGTAATTCCTTCCATAACATCTCTGAATTTTCCAGAAAGTTGCAACAACATGAAAGCATAGTTTCATTTACCAGGTGTAAATAATCATTAATGTTCTTTGCATTCACTTTAATTTTGTTTTGTTTTAGTTCTGCACAAGACAAAGAAGAATGGATCAAGGTAAGCCTCATTTTTCTTTTCTTTTTTTGAGACAGGATCTCATTCTCACCCAGTCTGGAGTGCAGTGGCGTGATCATGTCTCACTGCAGCCTCTGCCTGGGCTCAAATAGTCCTCACATCTCAGCCTCCTGAGTATCTGGGACTATAGACATGTACCACCATGTCTAGTTAATTTTTTTGTGTATTTCATAGAGACGACGTTTTGTCATGTTGCCCATGTTGGTTTTGAACTCCTGTGCTCAAGCAATCTGCCTGCCTCAGTCTCCCAAAGTGCTGGGATTACAGGTGTGAGCCACCACACCCAGCTTATCTTCACTTTTGTTTTTATTAACATCTCTGTGTACACCAATGTGCATATATTGTTGTGTCTATTTTAATATATAGTCATCATTAAAATAGGTTCACTTAATTTTCAAAGTGATTCCTCTCATAGATATTTGTTTGATAAAGTATATTCATTGGTTTATATGAGACACTTTAATGTGTGCTTTGAATTTTACTTATACTTTAGGCCCTTCAAGAAACCATCGATGCTTTTCATCAAAGGCATGAAACCTTCAGAAATGCAATTGCAAAGGATAATGACATTCATTCAGAGGTTTCTGTGAGTTGAATTAAATTCTTAACTTCAAGCTCTTTTATATCTTTGCAGTTGCAGAAGATCTGTCTAATCATTTTGTTCTTCAACCTTTTCCCTTTACAATGTCAAAAATGGCTGTTTAGACAGAATCTCATTCTTAGATGAACACAATAGTGAGTGCCCTTTCATTCTACTTGAACTTCTTTGAATTTTTCTTACTCTTTTGTTTTTCTTAAGATGGAGGCTTGCTCTGTCGCCCAAGCTGAAGTGCAGTGGCACAGTCTTGACTCACTACAACCTCCACCTCTTAGCCTCCCAAGTAGCTGGGATTATAGGTGCATGCCACCATGCCTGGCTAATTTTTATATTTTTAGTAGAGAGAGGATTTCACCATGTTGGCCAGGCTGGTCTTGAACTGCTGACCTCAGGTGATCTGCCCGCCTTGGCCTCCTAAAGTGCTGGGATTACAAGTGTGAGCCACCACACCAACCTTATTCTTGAGTTTCAGGACATGGTTTGAGCAATGTAGTTAAAGTTATTTTAAAAAAAATAATAAAAGGGAATTGTAGTTTTTTTCCTATTAAAATTGAATCTTTCTTTCCTTTTTAGACTGCTGAGCTAGGGAAAAGAGCCCCAAGATGGATCCGAGATAATGAAGTGACAATGTGTATGAAATGTAAAGAATCTTTCAATGCACTGACGCGAAGGAGGCATCATTGTCGAGCATGTGGATATGTAAGTGAGATTTCTTGATCATTAAGGTTGCTAGTAACTATATAAGTGATGTAAAGTCATCAGCTTGGGACACACACACACACACACACAAAATAACTTTCAATGTATTACTGAATCAATACATATATTTTGATGCCAACTATGTGCAGAGCACTGTGCTGAGCCCTGGAGAAAAACTGTTAGACAAAATGTTCCCTGGCTTTACAGAGCTTACGTTGTAATGGAGAAGTCAGACAAATAAGAATTTCAGATTACTATAGATAGAATAAAAAAGCAATTGAAAAGTTAAAAATGGACAGTATTAGTAATAGAGGAAGATCTGGAACCAATTTTAGTTTGAAAAAAAAAAAAGACCTGTCTCAGGGGTTGGTATTTAAGTTGATGCTTAAAAGATTGAGAAAGGGGGCAGGCGCAGTGGCTCACACCTGTAATCCCAGCACTTTAGGAGGCCGAGGTGGGCGGATCACCTGAGGTCAGGAGTTCAAGACCAGCCTGACCAACATGGTAAAATCCCGTCTCTAATAAAAATACAAAATTAGCCGGACATGGTGGCATGTGCTTGTAATCCCAGCTACTTGGGAGGCTAAGGCAGGAGGATTGCTTGAACCTGGGAGGTGGAGGGTACAGTGAGCCGAGATTGCAGCATTGCACTCCAGCCTGGGCAATAAGAGTGAAACTCTTTCTTAAAAAATAACAAAAAAGAGCTAATAATCAATAGAAATGGGGAAAAACTTCCGACAGTGAAAGTCTATATGCAGAGACCCTGAGGTAGGAAGGAACTTGGTCTGTTCATGAGACTGCCAAAGGTCATGAGGCTGGAGCATGATGAAAAAGACGAGGAGTGTTAGAGAAATAAATAATAGCCAAACAATGACTTGTTTCTATGAGAAACAAGAGTAGGTGGAACCCACAATACACGTGAAAGTTCTGGCTTTGATGAGGAGAGGAAAACTTCCTCCATTATATCAGAAGGGAAAAAGAAAAAGATGGGTACAAATGTAGGCGAGTTGGCATTTTTGCTGTTTTTGATGGTGAGAAATGAGGGAGTTTAGGTCCAATATCTGTATGTTCACTGAAGAACAAAGCAGAATCATCAGTTGAAAGTGACGTTGGAAAGAACAAAGTTGAATCATCAGTTGAAGGAAGGAGGAGGAGATGGGGAGATTCGAGAAAGAGAACTAAGTGTGAAAGTTTTCTCTGGGCAGAGAAAAGTGAGCCTGGTAGAAGAACAAAGGTGGACTTGGTTACCTGTTAGAAGTTTACAGTTACAAATTTAAAGGGACGCTAGGCAGCTTAGTGGCAGTGATTTTTTTCTAACAAGATATAGAATCTCAGGCCAGAGAAGGCAGATAGCAGGGTTTATCCAGAGTAAGTATAATGAGAAAAGCCCTGGAAGAGAAGGGAAGCATTTGCATCGGAGAGTTAATAGTGAATAAGAGGAGTCTCAATCAGATACAAAGATGGGGAAAGCTAAGAGGCAGGGCTGATGGTTAATGTTCTCATTGTGGGGGGGTCAGTGGACAGAAGGATTTCCATAAGTTCAGAAATGTGTGGTAGTGGACATCGTGGGGTCACTGAATGAGAAACATGAGAGATGTTGATGAAAAAAATGAGATATATGAATCTGGCCTGCCAGATATGGTTCACCCTCTGGTGAGGACACAGTCCTGAGGGTGACGGTGAGATTGGATAGTAAGGTAGACGGCACAGCACTGGCCACAGGGATATAAGGTGGTAGAGTTGGGCTTGTCCCGTGAATGTTGAAATCCATGAACATTGGGGTAGATCAGAGAACTATGTTCCATTAGGGAGAAATTCCTGAGTGAATGGGTATGGGGCAGATGATGAGGAGATCTCAGTACTAACTCAGTAGGGGAGATGTGTAGAGCCAGACAGTAATGGGCCTCAGAGGTGCCAGGGGTGTTTGAAGCAAGAAAAGAGTCAGGGAATACAAGCCTGAGCTCTCAGCCCTGAGGTCTCAGAGGGTGACAGAAGGCGAAATGGAGTGGGGAAAAAAATAAAAAAAAACCCACCTCTACTAGGGAAAAGAGCCTGAGGATATGGAAGAGGTCGACTCTAGATTGAAAGTTCCAAAGGGCCCAATGGAAGGGCATGGAGGGGAGAGCAGGAGATGAACTAGGTTAAATTATGTACAGAGGCCAGGCGTGGTGGCTCACACCTGTAATCCCAGCACTTTGGGAGGCCAAGTAGGGTGGATCGCAGCCTGGCCAACATACTGGAACCCTGTCTCTACTTTTAAAAAATTAGCTGGGCATTGTGGCAGGCACCTGTAATCCCAGCTCCTCGGGAGGCTGAAGCAGGAGAATTGCTTAAACCCGGGATGCAAAGGTGGCAGTGAGCCGAGATCGCGTCGTTGCACTCCAGCTCAGGTCACAGTGCAAGACTCCATCTCAAAAAAAAAAAAAAAAAAAAATATGTACAGAGGAGTATATTTGGCGGTGAGGCTGAGAAAATAGCCAGAGAGCTGGGCCTTTTCCTGGGACCTGAGAGACAGGAAAGTGGGGCATGACAGGGAGTGCATTCTGCTGGACTTTGAGATAAGGGCGGGCAGCCAGACCTGTTGCTATGATCCCAAATGTTTCCCTCGGTGGCCTGGCAGCCTAAAGGATGGTGCTTCCTGAGAATCTAAGGAACAGTGCTTCACACTGAAGATAACACATGTTAGGTATTGGTGAACACAAACTGCTTGGTATTAGAGTCAGCACTGCAAGACAGAGACTGGCAGAAAACGGGCTGGCATGGTGTAGGTAGGAATCATGTCATTGAGAGCCAGAGATGCCATGGTAAGATGCTTAGATTTGATCACGTTTTAAAGGGAATTGGTTCAATGGAAAAGAGTTGAGGAAGTCAGGAAGTAAGTAGTCAGGAATGACTTTAATGTTAAGATTTGGGTGACTGGATAAATGGTAGTGTGCTATTAATTGACATAGAAAAATGAAGCAAGGTGAAATGAAGGGGAGGGGAGCAAAAGGAAAAATAACAGCAGTTACCATTTATGATATACAAGTGCCAGGGATTGTTGGAAGTGTGTTGTATACTGTTTCTTTTTTTTTTTTTTTTTTTTTGAGATAGAGTCTTGCTCTGTCGCGCAGGCTGGAGTGCAATGGCATGATCTCTGCTCACTGCAACCTCTGCCCCATGGGTTTGGTTTGTTTTTTTTTTTTTTTTTTTTTTTTGAGACGGAGTTTCGCTCTTGTTGCCCAGGCTGGAGTGCAATGGCGCGATCTCGGCTCACCGCAACCTCCGCCTCCCGGGCTCAGGCAATTCTCCTGCCTCAGCCTCCTAAGTAGCTGGGATTACAGGCACGCGCCACCACGCCCAGCTAGTTTTTTGTATTTTTAGTAGAGACGGGCTTTCACCATGTTGACCAGGATGGTCTCGATCTCTCGACCTCGTGATCCACCTGCCTCGGCCTCCCAAAGTGCTGGGATTACAGGCTTGAGCCACCGCGCCCAGCCCTGCCCCATGGGTTTAAGCAATTCTCCTGTCTCAGCATCCTGAGGAGCTGGGATTACAGGCGCATGCCACCATACCCAGCTAATTTTTGTACTTTTAGTAGAGATGGGGTTTCACCATGTTGGCCAGGCTGGTCTCTAACTCCTGACCTTGTGATCTACCCACCTCAGCCTCCCAAAGTGCTGGGATTATAGGCATGAGCCACTGAACCCAGCTCTATACTGTTCTTACAGTTTCTCAGTTCTCATGTGTGAAATGTTCTATTTTCTACATTATAATTCAGAAATGGGCTCTTAGGAAAGTTATAATATGTTCTTTCTGTTACGTATTTCTCTTTTTTCTTATTCTCTCCCTGTGGGATTCAGATGAGGTGTACATAAGATCACCTCATTCCGTCTTCCATTTCTTGTGTTTTTTCTGTCTGTGTCTCTCTCTCTGGCATTTTATTCATCTCTATCTCCTGTTTTGTTCATTTTCTCTTCAGTTGTAGTGAATCTGCTGTTCATTTTTTTGTTTTGTTCATTTTGTTCATTTTTTATTTTAATTATTTGCAAAAGTTTTTTCCTTCCAAAATCTGCCTGATCATTTGTGATAGTTTTTGTTGTTTGCCACTTTGTTTTCAGACATTTCTTATGTAATTTTCACATTTGTATCTAATAATGCCAGTAGCTAAAGGCATTTTATTTTTATTTTTTTAAGACGGTATTTTTGCTCTTGTTGCCCAGCCTGGAGTGCAATGGTGCAATGTTGGCTCACTGCAACCTCTGCCTCCCGGGTTCAAGTGAGTCTCCTGCCTCAGCCTCCCAAGTAGCTGGGATTACAGGCATGCACCACCACACCCAGCTAATTTTGTATTTTTAGTAGAGATGAGCTTCCTCCATGTTGGTCAGCCTGGTTTTGAATTCCCAACCTCAGGTGATCTGCCCGCCTCGACCTCCCAAAGTGCTGGGATCACAGGCGTGAGCCACCATGCCTGGCCTAGCTGAAGATATTTCAAGGGTTCCAAATCTGTTGTTTCTACTAAATTCTAGTTCCTGGAGGTTTGCTTTCTGCTGTAATTGATGTCTTCTCATTGTGAGCTTGTATTTGGTTGATGCTTCATTATCTTCCTTTCCTTTTTTTTTTTTTTTTTTGAGACAGAGTCTCACTCCGTCACCAGGTGCCAGGCTGGAGCGCAGTAGCACAATCTCGGCTCACTGCTCCTCTGCCTCCCAGGTTCAAGCAATTATGCTGCCTCAGCCTCCTGAGTAGCTGGGACTACAGGCACATGCCACAACACCCGGCTAATTTTTGTATTTTTAGTAGAGATGGGGTTTCACCATGTTTGCCAGGATGGTCTCGATCTCTTGACCTTGTGATCTGCTTGCCTCTGCCTCCCAAAGTGCTGCGATTATAGGCATGAGCCACCGTGCCTGACCACCATTATCTTCCTTTCATAAGTTTTGGCATAATGACAGAGTCTCGGGGTCAGTTCTCCCATGGCCTCCAGGCCCCATGGACTGTCTCCTAATCCTAGCACTGCCCAGCCCAAGCTTATTTGCTCTATTCATCCACCATTACAATTTCAGCTTACTGTGTGTCTGTTGTTTTGTTTGTTCACTGGGTTTGGGGGCCTTGGAGAGATCTCTTACTTCAGTGTGAAGAAGTAAAACATTATAATTATTTGCTGTATTTTGTCCAGGATCCAGTTGTATTATAGCAAAATTCTTCTCAGAATTATCTGTCATACCGACAGCAGCAGGAGTCAAAAACATATTTAACAATGGTTATATGTTTCATTATGACTGTTTACATAGTCTTTCTACATCTAAAGTTACATAAACTTCAGCTGAGCATGGTAGCTCACTCCTGTAATCCCAGCCCTTTGGAAGGAGACTGAGGCAGGAGGATTGCTTGAGGCCAGGAATTTGAGACCAGCTGGGCAACATGGTGAAACTCTGTCTCTATAAAAAAATACAAAAATTAGCCTGGATGGTGGCACATGCCTGTAGTCCCCAGCTACTCAGGAGGCTCAGGTGGGAGAATCGTTTGAGCTCAGGAGGTCAAGGCTGCAGTAAGCCAAGATCTCACACCCCTGCACTCCAGCCTGGGTGACAGAGCAAGACCTCATCTCAAAAAAATAAAAAACAAAAATGTTATATGAACGTCTATAAAAACTTAAAATTTTTCTGGTTTTTGTTTGTCTTTGATACTTTATAAATTCCCCTGTTGTTTATGAAGTTTCAAGTTTCTTATCCAAAAATATGTTTCTGATTATAAGTTAATAACAATATTGCCAATATTTAAATGTAATGATGCTACATATTAACATAATTGGATCATGGTTTGGTCAGCTACTGAGCTGAATTTCATACAGAAAAGTGAGGAACAAACTATGTAATGAAGCTGGAGAGAGGCAATTTTTGGAGGACTTTTTAAACCAAGTTAAAGATCATAGCCTTTCTCCTAAAAGGAATGGGAGACACAGAGAACAGTATTAAGTGATTCTCCTGCCTCAGACTCCCAGGTAGCTGGGATTACAGACCCGCACCACCATGCCCAGCTAATTGTTGTATTTTTAGTAGAGATGGGGTTTCCCTGTGTTGGCCAGGCTGGTCTCAAACTCTGGACCTGAGGTGATCTGAGGATTTTAAATAGAGGAGGAATAAATCAGAGTATGTGTATGTATATATGTGTGTGTGTGTGTGTGTGTGTGTGTGTGTATATATATATATATATATATATTTTTTTTTTTTTTTTTTTTTTTTTTTTTGAGACGGAGTCTTGCTCTGTTGCTAGGCTGGAGTGCAGTGGCAAGATCTCAGCTCACTACAGCCTTCACCTCCTGGGTTCAAGTGATTCTCCTGCCTCAGCCTTCTGAGTAGATGGGACTACAGGTGCATACCATCACACCCAGCTAATTTTTGTATTTTTAGTAGAGACGGGGTTTCACCATGTTGGCCAGGATGGTCTCAATCTCTTGTCTCGGCCTGCATCGGCCTCCTAAAATGCTGAGATAACAGGCATGAGCCGCCATACCCGGCAAGTAGCTTTTTTGTTGTTGTTTTTTTGTTTTTTGAGACAGACTCTGGCTCTGTTACCCAGGCTGGAGTGCAGTGGCGCTATCTTGGCTCACTGCAACCTCTACCTCCCAAGTTCTCGCAATTCTCCTGCCTCAGCCTCCTGAGTAGCTGGGACTATGGGTGCATGCTGCCATGCCTGGCTAATTTTTTTTTTTTTTTTTTTTTTTTGTATTTTAGTAGAGACGGGGTTTCACTATGTTGCCTCGGCTGGTCTCAAACTCCTGAGCTCAGGCAATCCACCCACCTCAGCCTCCCAAAGTGCTGAGATTACAGGCATGAGCCACTATGGCCAGCCGTAGCTTTTTTTTTTTTTTTTTTTACAGTGTCATGAGCTAATATATTATTTGTGTGCTTAAATGCAACAATTCTTATTGATAGTTTTTTTAGCTTATTCTTTCTGTTTTCCTCAGACTTATTTTTGACTCAAGAAGGTAGTTTTGTGATCAAAATTAAATTGACAGCAAACAGCTTTTTTATCAGGATAAGACTGAAAAATCTATCATTAAATATGCTTGAAATGATTTCCGGTATTGGCATACTTGCTTTCAGTAAACAAAAAATGTGTTTGCATATACATTATCAAAATACTGTGCTATGATTTGAAAATAAATAAAATGGATGGTATGAGTCTGCAAATACAAGTATGTCCAATTCTAAATCCCAGAGTAATTTCATTGTAATTATGAGCAAACAGTGGAAAGGAAGAAGATATTAAACCGGAAGATTTTAAACAAATCCTATAATAGAAAAAAAATGATCACTAAGAAATACATTTGCATCGTATTCATTCATTTATTGGCAGTCTGTGAATGTTTATTATGTGTCTGTTGAGCAAAATATTCAAAGATAGTCTCTTTTGGAGCTTACAGCTCTGTAAGGGAGATAAACAATCAAATAATCACACAAGAATAAAATTAAAAGCTGTAATCATTGCTATGAAAGAAAATGCAGGGAACACTGACAGGAGACATGCTGTGTTCTGGGATTTGGAGGAGTCCTCATTGAGGAACTGGAATTTGAGCCAACATCTGAAGGGAAACCGAAAGTTAACGCGGTGAAACAGAGAGGAGAGAGGCAGAGAGCATGGCCCCTGGGAACTGTAAGAAGCCAGTGTCACTGAGGACACAGCCCAGAAAGACCGGAAAGAAGGCAAATTACACAGGACTTTGTCGGCCATGATTAAGAATTGATTCTTTAGCCAAGAGCAAAGGAAAGACTGAAGATTTTAAATAGAGGAGGAATAAATCAGAGTATCTTTTTTTTTTTTTTTTTTTTTTTGAGACTGGGCCTTACTCTGTCACCCAGGATGGCAGTAGCACGAGCTCCACCTGGGCTGGTCTGGAACTCCTGGACTCAGGCGGTCTGTCCTTCTTGGCCTCCCAAAGTGCTGGGATTACAGGAGTCACCACACTTGACCAGATTAGCATTTTTTTTTTTTTTTTTTTTTTTTTTTTTAGACAGAGTCTTGCTCTGTTGCCCAGGCTGGAGCGCTATGGCGTGACCTCGGCTCACTGCAGCCTTTGCCTCCTGGGTTCAAGTAATTCTCCTGCCTCAGCCTCCTGAGTAGATGGGACTACAGGCACATACCACCACACCTGGCTAGGTTTTGTACTTTTAGTAGAGATGGGTTTTCACCATGTTGGCCAGGATGGTCTCAATCTCCTGACCTTGTGATCCACCCACCTCCCAAAGTGCTGGGATTACAGGCATAAGCCATTGCGCCCAGCCCAGATTAGCATTTTTAAGAGGGGCATCACTCCACTGTTTGGAAGATATTATAGCTTGGAGGATGTGTAAGAGTGGAGGCCTGGAAATGGACTTGGGTGGTTATAAGGAAGTTGTGGAAAAATAGACTGAAGAAATATTTAGAAAGTAAAATCAGTGGGACTTTGTAAAATAGAAAATCTTTGGGTGAGTTTGAAAGAGGTTTTGGGGATGACTGTGTGTGTCAGGCACAGGACCAATTGTATGACTGCCCCATTTCCTGCAATAGAAAGGACTGAGGAGACCAGGTTGGGAGGAGCGGGTTGGATGGATTGAGACCAGGGAAGGTCATGAGCAGTTTGGAGAGGATATTGATGAACATTCAGAAGTATGAAGAGTCAAGGTCTGCACTAAGCCTTTGAGGGCCTTCTACCTTTAGAGGCCAAGAGAAGAAGGATGAGTGAGCAGAGCTCCTCCCAAACACGGTTGAAACACCCTACGTCTAGTGTTTATAGGGATGTTCCTTTTCTAACAAAAATCTGCCTTCTATGCTTAACACTTTCTCATTCATTATTACCTATAATTGATTATTGCTTAAATTGTATCCTTTAAATATGATTACTGTTCGTTTTTCTTTTAAATTTAAGGTGGTTTGTTGGAAATGCTCCGACTACAAAGCTCAACTTGAATATGATGGTGGTAAATTGAACAAAGTTTGTAAAGACTGTTATCAAATCATAAGTGGATTTACAGACAGTGAAGAAAAGAAAAGGAAAGGAATTTTAGAGGTAAGAAATATCAAATATTGGATATTTTTTAGATTTTTCTTTTTTCTTTTTGCGATGAAGTCTTGCTCTGTCACCCAGGCTGAAGTGCAGTGACATGATCTCAGCTCACTGTAACCTCTGCCTCCTTGGTTCAAGCAATTCTCCTGCCTCAGCCTCCCAGGTAGCTGGGATTGGCAGCCTATGCCACCATGCCCAGCTAATTTTTGTATTTTTGGTACAGATGGGGTTTCCCCATGTTGGCCAGGTTGGTCTCGAACTCCTGACCTCAGGTGATCTGCCCACCTCGTTCTCCCAAAGGGGTGGGAATATGAGCATGAGCCACCATACCCAGCCTAGATTTTTATAGAAGAAACAGAATCCTCTTTGCTATGAGGAGTACAAATAATATGTTTTGTTATTTCTTTGAGTTTTTAACAATTTGTATAAAGAGCAAGATTTATGCTTTTGTTCTAATATGCTGACTTTTGGGAGTCCCATAGAAAAGAGGGACTGCTATTTAAACCAACATGCATTTAAGAATTAAATACGTTGATTTTTGTGGCAGTAGCTATAGCTAATTATTTCAGTATTAATTGGCATCTCTTCTAATACCCAAATTATTGTAGTATATTTTCTGTAAAGGAAAGCTTTTACTCAGTTTCATCATATTGGCTTTACAAACCACTTTAAAGTACTGTTACCGAACAGACTCTTCAAACTTATTATAGTAAAATACCTAGTTTATTATAGTCATTTAATAGCCAATGACATACTCTGATAACTGCATTGAAATTTTATTGAAGTGTCTCCCAAGTTAATGTGACTCAGTTTCTAGAAAAGATTCAGAAGCCTGGGAACTATAATGTAGCTTATCTGAATTAATAATACAGATCTACTAGTAAGAATGGAATTCTTTGGGGGAGGATAACCTTTCACTTAATTAGAATCCAAAGTTAGTGTTCTCTATCATCAAATTGATTGTAAATGATCGTGTGTAAAAATGTTCCCTGGCTCATGGGCCATACGAAAACAAGTGGTGAGATGGATTTGGCTTGTAGGGTATCATTTGCTAACCAGTGCTGCTTAGAAAACTGTAACCAGTTGTGGTGGCTCATGCCTGTAATTGAAGCACCAAGGCCAAGGCAGGTGGATCACTTGGGGTCAGGAGTTCAAGACCAGCCTGACCAACATGGTGAAACCCCATTCTACTAAAAACACAAAAATTAGCCAGGTGTGGTGGTGCCTGCCTGTAATCCCAGCTACTGGGGAGGCTGAGGCAAGAGAATTGCTTGAACCCAGGAGGCGGAGATTGCAGTGACCCAAGATTGTGCTATAGCACTTCAGCCTGAGTGACAAGAGCTAAACTCCATCTCAAAAAACAAAAAACAAAACAAAAAAAAAAAACCCTTTCTGTGACGAAGCATCAGTTTTTTTCCCCCCAGACTATCACAGATAAGTGTTTTTGTAAAATACACAATAACGCACTTGGGTATCATCACAAATTCAAATTGTTATAAATGTATAATACTTTCTCCTACTTTGTGTGATTACCTGAAACTGGTAACAAAACCATTTGCAGACCTGGAGACCAGCATGGATAACACTGAGTAGCACTACCTGAAGGGTTTCAGAGAGAGAAAATAGAAAATAGAAGCAAACCAGTTAGTTTCCATAAGGTATATAACAAAAACTATTATTTAGTTAAATGGTTTTGTTCCCTTTTTTAGCCTTTTTTTTTTTTTTTTGACAGACTCGATCTGTTGCCCAGGCTGGAGTGCAGTGGTGCAATCTCGACTCACTTCAACCTGTGCCTCCCCAGTCCAAGCAATTCTCATGCCTCAGCCTCCTGAGTAGCTGCGATTACAGAAATGTGCCACCACACCTGGCTAATTTTTTGTTTGTTCGTTTTTTTAAGTAGAGATGGGGTTTCGCTATGTTGCCTAGGCTAGTCTTGAACTCTTGACCTCAAGTGATCCACCTACCTTTGCCTCCCAAAGTGCAGGGATTACATGTGTGAGCCATCTCACCTGGCCTTTTAACCAACAATTTCTATATTACGAGGCAAAGCAGAAAAATTAAATGGCTCTATGTATTAGTCTGTTCTCACACTGCTATAAAGACATAACCAAGACTGGGTAATTTATAAATAAAAGAGGTTTAATTGACTCACAGTTCCACATGGCTGGGGAGGCCTCAGGAAACTTAACAATCATGGCAAAAGGAGAAGAGGCACGTCTTACATGGTGGCCAATGAGAGTGAGCAAGTACATGAAGGAAGAACTGTCAGACACTTATAAAACCATCAGATCTCATGAGAACTCACGATCATGAGAACAGCATGGGGGATACTGCACCCCCTTCCACCTCTCCCTTGACACATGGGGATTATGGGGATTACAATTCAAGATGAGATTTGGCTGGGGACACAAGGCCTAACCATACCACTCTACAAAAATTGATTGCACTGAAAAAGTTTTTAATTTGGTGTACTCAAACAAAGATTGCTGGTTGCTGTTTGCCTTTTTGCTATTATATTCTTTCTTAGTTAAAGTAGGTATAGCATTGTTGTTACAAGTTCAGGCTCTGGTCTGGGCACGGTGACTCATGCCTGTAATCCTGGCACTTTAGGAGGTCAAGGCAGGAGGATTGCTTGAGGGCAGGACTTCAAGACCAGTGTGGACAATATAGTAAGAGCCTGTCTCTACAAAAAAATGTAAAAATTATCTCCCAGCTACTTGAGAGGCTGAGGCAGAGGATCAGGGTTCAGGCTCTGGATCCGGACTCCCTGGGTTCAAATCCTAGCATGCCAATGTGTGATCTTGGGAAAGCTATTTAAACTCTGAGCCTCAGAGAAAATGAAAATACTTTCTCAGTGTTGATGTGAGGATTAAATGAAATAATACGTGTATTGAGCTAAGAAAAGTGTTACATAATAAGCAGTCAATAAATATTTAACTCTTTAAATTCAAGGTCTATTTATACAAAGAGCTAAAATTGGCTTAAATAGTTTCCATGTTAAAACGTTTTAACAATAATTGCACATGAATCTTTTTTGGATAGTCCAGGGAGACATTTTATATAAACACGAACTTTGTGAATATTTCCCTTTAGTTGAATGACTTCTTCATCTGGTTCATTGTATGTTCATTCTCTCTCTTTCCATTGTATTTTTCCAGATCGAATCAGCAGAAGTATCTGGAAACAGTGTGGTGTGTAGCTTTCTTCAGTATATGGAGAAGTCAAAACCTTGGCAGAAAGCTTGGTGTGTGATCCCCAAGCAAGACCCCCTTGTGCTGTACATGTATGGTGCCCCCCAGGTATCTAACCACATCTGTCTGAAGGGACAGATGCCCTTGGGGGCAGGGTGAAGCGAGTGGACAGAGGACTCAAAATCTGTAGAACAAGAGTTTCACTGTTTTATTAAATTTGAAAAATAATGAGTAAAGTTCAAGTTTGTTGTTTAAGCTGATGGATTCATTTTATAGCCCATGTTTTATTCAGTCTGGATTTTCTGTCCCTTTCTTCTCTCCTTCAATGGGTTTGGGAAAAGATGAATTGAATTAGGAATAAGTATGAAGAGGAGGGGAAGCAAGACAGGGGAAACAAGCCTTTTTAATGACAGGAAACATTAAGAAAAGACTCTTTGATTTTGTTGTTGTTGTTTCTGTTGTGTTTGTGTGTGTGTGTGTGTGTGTGTGTGTGTGTGTGTGTGTGTGTGTGTGATGGAGTCTCGCTCATGTTGCCCAGGCTGGAGTGCAGTGGCGTGATCTTGGCTTACTACACCCTCTGCCTCCCGGGTTCAAGTGATTCTCCTGCCTCAGCCTTCTGAGTAGATGAAATTACAGGCGCTCGCCACCACATCTGGCTAATTTTTGTATTTTTAGTAGAGACGGGGTTTTGCCATGTTGATCAGGCTGCTCTCAAACTCCTGAACTCAGGTGATTCACCCACCTTGGCCTCCCAAAGTGCTGGAAATTCAGGCATCAGCCACCACGCTCAGCCAATTTTGTTTTTTATTTTATTTGTTGCTTAATGGATAGATATCTGAAAAAGAATTTTGAGAGGATGGGTAACTTAAAATCAATCTTGTATTATCATTCAGTAACAGCTTTTTTAAGAATCCCATGTATACGGATCTGAGATAAATCTATGGGAACAATGATATGCAGGTTTAGCTTCTAACAAGAGCAGCACCAGGTCCTATGATTGTGTTGTGCTTGAAGAATCAAATGTACAACACTTAAACCAGTTATGCATTTACCCTGAAAATATAAAAAATTTAAATATACCTGTTGTATTTTCTTCTATATATTAAGGGCTGGTAAAAATTATTTTATTTTGAAAATAGACTAAAAATTACAGGCTATATAGCTTATTCTTCTTTATTGCTTTTCCTGTAAGCTTTCCATATGCATAAATAAGTTGATGAGGGAATGAACGAATCACCAAATAAAACTGCCTTTAGTAATGAGATTATCATCAATGTTTGCTGGTTTAATACATTATGATGGTGATTGTTTTCTTCCCCTTTTCGCTGAATGAAGAGTTGAACGGGCTCTTTCACAGAGAGGAGGGTTTAGTGTCTCTGAGTCCTAGTTGATTTGAGTGTCAGCTCTCATTCATTCAGCTAACATTATCAGTGGCCTCACGTACAGGCTCTGTACTAAGCAACGGGATTATCTGCTGTGCCCATGGAGAACTCACTGTTAGAGTCTGTTTGGGACAGTGGTAGGAAGAAAGGTTTAGTAGCAACAAGGGACACAGCAAGCAAATACATCTCCTGCTTTTAATGTCTGGTGTTTTTTCTTTAGGACGTCAGAGCCCAGGCCACCATTCCACTTCTGGGCTATGTGGTAGATGACATGCCACGGAGTGCAGACCTGCCACACAGTTTCAAACTGACCCAATCTAAGTCTGTGCACAGCTTTGCTGCAGACAGCGAGGAACTGAAGCATAAGTGGCTGAAAGTCATCCTTTTAGCTGTCACAGGTGAGACACCAGATGGTCCAAATGAGCATCCAGGCACCTTGGATGATCATCCTGAACCTAAGAAAAAATCAGAATGCTGAACTCATCCGGGACCAGCCATAGTGCGGAGGTCTCAAGACATAAAGCTCAAGACATTCCCAGCTCTTCTTACTCATCTGCTAGCACTTTATGTTGAAGAATACAGGCTCATAAATGCATCATTTGAGGACGATTTTCCTATGTTTATGTACTCCTAGTGAAAGTAGTGTACAGAGTCATTCTACCGATAAAGTTTTGAAATAATGTGAAAACTGGATCATTTTTTGAGCTATTCCTTGAATATGTGCTTTTTTGTCTTGAAGAAAATGGTATCAATTGATTCTGTCACTGTCAGGTTAGAATGAGCACTTTCATTTAAGAAATCCTTTAATGTCTTCTTCTCTTTCACACGTAGGACCTGTAACAGTTTTAAAGATATACCTCCATGTTGCCAAAATAGATCCACGGTGAAAAATACAGGGACAGTTTAGGCTATTGTATTAACTTATTTAATTTAGTTTATGAATCTCTAGCTGCATAAATGATGTCTGTTCTTTTAAAACAAAAAGGACAATTGTTGGTATTCAGATTTCGATTTATGAAGAAAAGAGAACTTGTTTTGTAGAAATACTTCTAAGAATATCTTAAGTATATAGTAATTATGTATATATAGTATTAAATATATATATATATACTATACATGCTTTTCTCTTTAGCTTTGGGTTCACATTCATTTCTAATTTATTTTTTAAATATAAAGCATGGTTTATCTTGGAATTGAGCAATGTTCTAAACTGAAGAAATGTTTTGGTGATTTATGTTTAACTGATTGGCATTTGAGGGTATTGATATTTTTATAATAAGTGGTCATTTATGTGGCATGGGAAATATTTGTGAATTCCAACAGTACTTTTAAAAGTACCATTTTTGGTTTCTGTGCCTATTTAAAACAGTGCCTCTCTTAGAAGGTGCTATTAATATAAGATGAGGGTTCAGTTATAAGCTTCAGTCTTGATTATTTTAAGATTAAAGTGCATTTCAGTCACTGGGACAGTCAAAGTCATATAGGTTTTTTTACCTTTTGTGATCCTAAAATTGTTGCAGTAGTTAACATCAGCATGTACAGAAATTTTCACCAAAACCCAAACTTTAGGAGACATCCGACCCTTTTACAGAACTAGGATATGTGGAAACCACGTTCATTGTAATGTTTTTCTTTTCCATAAGGTAGTCAAGCATGGTTAAATGAGCACTCTCTATATACTGAACACTTAAGATCTGTGTGGGCCTGTTCCTTTGTCAGAATGAAACAAAATCCACATGGGATAACCCATCTTTGGGGCAGGGGCTGGTCACATGATTCCTTGTCATGGAGACTGCGCTACACTCTGTTGTACCTCTGATTAAAATCTCACACTAAGTTTACTATTTAACTTAATCCTTTTCTCAAATTAAACTTTTTTTTATGTTGTCATACCCCAAACATTCTCACTTTTTAATGTACCAGTCTGCTAGAAATCTCTAAGAATGACCCCACTATCTTTAGTAGGTAAGGATTACACCTTAGAGGTAGAATAGAATTTGAGACTGCCACACATTTATTCAGGCCTTGTTACTTTAAGAAAATCTTATTTTTTCCACCCCATAGGAGCAAATGAACCAATTACTGCTAACATAATTAGGTTCCCTTCCTCCATGAAAGGAATATCAGCCATGATCATTAACATTAAACCAAATACATGGAGCCAAAAAGAGATAAAAGTAGCTTCTTAGGCCCTATTAAATCAGAGAAAGACTAAAAGAAATTTTACATTGCATCTCTTTTTTAATGGACAATGGTGTGTGTGTGTGATATATACTCAGAGTGTTTTTTTTTTTAGAAAATTATAACTATAAATGATGCTTTGGTTTTCTTAATCTCAAGAAAAGAGAAGCAGTGGAAACACAGAATGATGAGCAGGGGAAGATGACTTTTGTAAGTGTGGATAGAACAATGTGTGGGCCAGTGGGAAGATTTATGAGTCAGATTATTTTTGAAAACTATATTTAAAAGCAAGACTACACTTTCCCTACAGAAGTAACATAAACACACTTGGCCGGGCGCGGTGGCTCAAGTCTGTAATCCCAGCACTTTGGGAGGCCGAGGCGGGTGGATCACGAGGTCGAGAGATCGAGACCATCCTGGTCAACATGGTGAAACCCCGTCTCTACTAAAAATACAAAAAATTAGCTGGGCATGGTGGCGTGTGCCTGTAGTCCCAGCTACTCAGGAGGCTGAGGCAGGAGAATTGCCTGAACCCAGGAGGCGGAGGTTGCGGTGAGCTGAGATCGTGCCATTGCACTCCAGCCTGGGTAACAAAAGCGACACTCTGTCTCAAAAAAAAAAACAAAAAACATAAACACACAAGTTTTGGCTCAATAAATATCAATGTATTTAACTTAGATCATTGAAAGAATATTCACATAAAGATAATGTTTATTATCATGCTCTTAACTGTCATTAATTTTTTTGTTTGTTTTTTGAGACAAAGTCTCACTTTGTCACCCAGGTTGGAGTGCAATGGCTCGATCTCAGCTCATTGCAATCTCTGCCTCCTGAGTTCAAGCAATTCTTCTGCCTCAGCCTCCTGAGTAGCTGGGACTACAGGCGTGTGCCACCACACCTGGCTAATTTTTCTTTTTTTTAGTAGAGATGGGGTTTCACTGTGTTAGCCAGGATGGTCTCGATCTCCTGACCTCGTGATCCACCTGCCTTGACCTCCCGAAGTGCTGGGATTACAGGCGTCAGCCACCACGCCTGGCCATCTTTAATTTTTTTAATGAGAATCATTAGTACTAGAAGAGAATTTCCAGTTTTCCGATCACCATATTCAGTTTCCACCCCACATTCTTCAGCTAAACACAAAGAGAAGCAGTGAAACAGCCTTACCCGCTTCTCTCTTATTAAAGAATCACTGACGTTTTTACTCAATGAAAGGTAAAGGAATACTCTTAGCCATTTATTAAACAATTCAACCAAAAGACCTCAAAATGTATTGATGATGAGAATAATCAATACCTTTTCCTTTCCAAGATATTTGAGCAGCCATGACAAACTGAACCTAAACAAATCATTACAGCTAGTGCTCGACTTACAACCACGGTTGGGACCGCGGAACGGTCGTAAGTTGAGTAGGCTATATGTACAGTTGAAATGGTGCACGCGGAGATGGTAGTGCTGCCGGAAGCTGGTCCTCACTGTCGTACGCCCAGCTGGGGAACATTTGCGCTGCCAGACGCGGAGCAGTCGTGGCTAGCGATTGTGGTCGTAAAGTTGAATGGTTGTTAAGTTGCACAGGTCGTAAGTCGATCAATACCTGTAGTTGCTTTCCCATTAAAACCAGCATTCCCTGTGGGTCTTAATTCTTTATTTTCACTTATTCAGTGCTTTCCAAGTCATCTTTTCTTTAAAGTGCCCTTCCTCCAAACTTTAAAAAGTACTTCCTTGACAAAATTGCTATTCATTACAAAACTTTCCAATATTTTAAGCTTAAATTCTGCGTTTGTTGAAAGTCTACCATTTGGCATGTTAAGTGTGAAATATAGTGCAGACTTCTTATCTCGGTTTTAAGTGGGGCTTGATAAGAAAAAACACCAGCCACTTTTGTAATAATGGCATCCACAGTGTCATCATGTATGCAAGCAATAAAACTCTTCAGGGTATGGTTTTATACTGAAAATTTAATATGAAGGCCCCTTGCCACAAGGACATAGAGAATTATTAGCTTTCTAGATGTGTTATGGTAATTCAAATTGTGGAATATAAAGAAGGGAAATGGGAAGGGGCATCATTCCTTGGATTTTAAATAACTATTAAGAACATTTTTACTTTAACAAAGAAAATGGACAAAGCACATTTTGTTTTCCATGAAGTTTAATTTGACATCAGGTTTGTGTACTTATCTTCACTAGGTGACTTACCTCAATTTTTTTAAAAATCATCAAACTTTTTACAGAAACTAACCTTTTAAATGTACCCTTTCCCCATATATATACACACACATTTGGATTTTTTTTTTAAAGAGCACTTGTTCTAGTTATAAATGTATAAAGAAAACGATAGTTTGTGGTACTGCAGGGTTGTTAAAGATTTTTTTATGCCTTCTGAAAACTTTTATCAAAAATACTTTTGTGAGTTCAGAATTCTGTTTTACTTTTCCTTGTCCCTACTTTTTGGAAACAGGGTAGTTGCTTTGTTTGTTTTCTGGTTATATTCAAAGCCTTAAGTTCTTAATCTGAGCATATTGTCTGTGATAAATTTCTGATGATCTTTCCGGACTAGATACATCCTGAGTAGCAAGCACCAACAGGAGCAAGTAAACTTCTAGGGAACAAACGTCTTAGTTTTTTACAGGTATCTTTCCTCTGATGCGGAGTAGATCGGCAAAGATTTCCTGTATCACATGATGTTTATGTTTGTGGGTCTGAGATTAAGCACATGATATTTATAAGCTAAAATTAACTTGAAAGGCAAGAATGTCTTAATGTTTTCATTCTTAAATTTTGTATTTTCCAAGAATGTATTAGTATATGAACTGTGGCCAGCCAGTTCCTGTTCTTCGGACTGTGTTGACATCTGTAGTGGATCATGTTGCTTCCTCATTCTTACCAATTTTATTAGAATCAAACTACTTGTTATTTTCATATTATTATCTACTATAGATTCTCAGCTTTAGAAAATGACTATGATACATAAAGACCACTAGGTCAACTTAAACCCTTTTTGTGAATTTATACATATTTGTATATATGTAAAAACACTGTTGATTTGCAGTTCTGTCTTTCCATAGAAATGAAGTTTTTCTATCAAAATTGTTTAACTTAAATATTTTAACATAAATTATTGACATGGATCTTTATGTATAATTCATCCTTATATATGCCCCTTAATCATGTAGTCATGAGCAGATAACTTTGCTTTCATTACAGATAGGGCAGAGAGAAATAAGATAAGAAACTGAAACAAGCAAGAATGAAGAGAGATGAGAAGAGAGACTGCTGGTCTCCAGACCACAGCAACGTATTTTAAGATAAGAGGAAATATTTTAACTGCAGAAGGGATATAAAATATAAGTCTATGTAATTACATGCTGATGGGATCCATTGCACCCAGGTTTTTGACCTTGGCCTGCCTATAAATTATAGACTGTGATATCTTGTTATTCTTTTTGTCTTTCGGGCTTTTTTTTTTTTTTTTTTTTTTTTTACTCAGCCAGAACTTTAAGTCTTTGGGGCTTT